CGCCACTTGGCTGCGCCTAGAAATCCTGTCCATAAAAATTATGGACAGGATAAATGCGATCCATTATTATCATTATTAACAACAACTTTATTTATAAAGCGCTATCAAACAAAGTGCTGAACAGTTATTTAAAGATAAATAAATAAAAGCAATACAATTTAAACGCTGACAACAATTTAAAGACACATAAGATATGGTGAACATGTAAGTCTTTACCTTAGCTTTAAAACCTCCACAGAGCAGTCTGCCTAATATCTTGAGGGAGGTTGTTCCACAAAAATGGGGCATGAAAAGAAAAAGCATGCTCCCCAGTCTCCAACAACATCGGAGATCTCTGTCCGGCAGAGCGCAGTCCTAGGACCAGCAGAGATACTGCGCAGGACCATCAAGCTCCCAGGCCTCTGGAAGAGGACCCGAGCTTGAAGGGTAAACCGCCTGCAGGGGCGAGTGGGGGCTTTTTAAATATATATATAGTGTTCGTGAATATTTGTAAGTATCAGTGCTCTTGACAACATCCTGAATCCACAGAGGACGCTTTCAGGACTGTAAATACAGATGAGTTACTTTAAGATGCAGACCAGCAAGATTGAAGGACGGATCACATGTTCCTAGAAGACAGCAGACACAGTTTTTTATCAGCTAAAACAAGATTAAATTGTAGCAGAACGATGGGAAGAGACGGGGATGGAGAAAGATCAGTGCTCGTGATCCACGTTAAAGCCCATCATCTGTCAGAGGCAGAATCACTCAAATGCTGCAAAGCTCATAGGCAGCACTTCACACACAGAAGACCAAAACCAGAGTGAATCAGCTGACTCCTCACTGACGTTAAAATCATCCAGATATATGTTTTAATCGTGCAGTTACTTTTTGTCCCCAACCAGCTGAAATCCACCAGGTTTCTTCGTCTTCAGCGGGATTCAGAAATGAATTTTTGCTCATATGTTTGCATGGTGTAGCACGCACTCTATGTTAATGCTCCCTCACTGACTGCAGGTCCTCCCATCGCTTGACAGAGTGGATAATAGCAGTGCTCCATGTCAGAACCCTCTCGTGGACTCGGTGCGTGGGCTGTCGGCTGCCCTGGTTGGCTCGTGCATTCAGACCTGATCTTGACACTCAGTGAGGTGTAATGACTTCTCCCCATTAGACACGCAGCACCAACCCACAAACGAGGCCACTTCTCAGGTACTCGAGAGCGCTGCATGCATGAAGAGCGTCTTTGTCCTCTAGCACACAAACACCCACACACGTCGTGTCTTTTATTACTTAGTAATTTCGTACCATCCTCGTGGGCCTCTCGCTTCGTATTTGATGAGCAAAAATATTTATAGATTATTATTTGGTGGCACTGTCAGTGGAGGGTATGAATGGGCTAATTAATGTGTGCGTTTCTCTATTCTGAATTCATTATTATGTTTAATGAATAAAACATGTAAAGAGGCTGGTTTGGTGCCGGAGTCGGGGCAAAGAGAGCAGAGTGCTAACGTAAGAAAAAGGCGATTATTGAGCTGAGCAGGGACCGAACGCGACGCCTGGTTTTGTGTTTAGGTGTAAACGTACAGCAATGTGCTGAATTCTGGAGTCACCCCTCATTTCTTCTTCTCTGCTTCACAGCACACAGACTTCAGTCATGTTATGAACGGGTCAGTAGCAGAGGTCTCCAAGGTTGTCTTCGCACTTTGGTAGCTTGATTTGCTTGAACCAGTGTTAATGTGTATCTGTCATCATTCGATCTTATAAAAAAGCCAAAGACAATACGATGACGTGTTTTTGGTCATCAGGCTCACTGCTCCGTACAGAAACTCTCCGAGCTGCAGCTCCCTGCACAGATTATCTGTGTGCCTGAGGCGTGCCACGCCATGACCTCGATGTGTTTCTTCTTTAGCCGCTCCTTTGTTGCCCTGGTGGTGAGTTTTGGGTCACTGTCGTACTAACAGACCCATCCTGTCAAGTTTGCTGTGTGTGGCAGCAGGAACGGACCCAAAACTGCTGAACGCCAGAAATACAAAACTAACTAAGCTGAGAATACACATGAGACTAAACAGGCAGAACACACGGCCGGGAACGAGGAAGAATCAGACCCTCAATACACGAGGGGAGCAGGCCAAAGAGGAAACATCTGGGAAACACAGCCGGCACTAATCAAAAAGACGAGAGGGGGGGAGAGGAAGACATGAACAGGATCAAATACTAACTAAGAAACTAGGAAATACAAGGTACAGAAAGTAAGACTTCAGAACATCGTAAAACCAAAGCAGTGGGTCAGTGACTCAGGTAACACGTCCAGAACCACTCTTCAGTACTGTGGCTGAGGGAGGCTCAGGTCCAACATTTTATGTCACGCGTCTCAGAAAAGCAGCCCCAACCACGATGATGTTGTACGAGTCACATCATTCGCTCCTCTTCCTCCAAACACAGCTGACGCCAAAGAGCTCGATTGTGACTGTAGGGGCTGAAATGCTTCTTTTACTCGGTGACGTGGGGGTTGATATTCACTCCTTTAAATTAAAATACATTTGTAATCAGACACCGCTCATTTCTTTGTAAGTGAGCGAACATTATTCCCCTCACTGCTGCTCTGAACGGCGTCGGGTTTAACGTGCTCCACAGTTTGCTGAGTTCAGCTCTGTTTTTTCACTTTTCAGGGAGTTCCTCTGAAAAGTGTTGATTAATGTCAGGCCATGATGAGGCTTAGATATTGATTAGTTAATGAACGATTAGTGTGTACTGTGATGAGTGTCTTAATAGTCATTCCTACTGACCAGATCAATACAGACAGACAAAAGATGAAAGGTTCTGGTGGATTTAAGCAGATCCTTTGTTTGTCTCTGTTCTTGCTTTTTGAAAGGAGCTGCTATCTAGACTACAGGGCTCATCCTCACCTGGTTTTGGGTACAGGTAGAGATACATGCACCAAGAGATGTTCTGATGTCTTTCTGTGTAATTTCTCTTGGCACGGCTTTCATTTCCACCCATGCCGTTCACTGTACTTGTGCCTGGTTATCTTGCCTTTGTTGCCATCAAGACATCAAGATAATTGACGACAGGCTTTCACCCTGTCTGCCTCGCTTCTCTCTTCTCCCCGTCTGGAGTGATTTCTTCATTAGCGGCTGTTCCACCTCACTCTGTTTCGCTCTTTCCTCCTCTGCCTTCTCCGCCCTTTGACAATTATGAAGTGCAGTGATTCTTCAGGAGTGTTCATGAAACATGATGTTGAGCAACTCTAGCAGTGCTATGCTGCATTGCAGTGAAACCCAAGCACATCACACGTGCCTGTCAGCATGTAAGGATATTTGTAAATGGAGCTACAGAAGAAAAACTGGGCTTCGTTCAATCCTGACAAAACGCATCAACTGACAGAGTCGAGTTAAACTGAGCACCCTGTTGGTTTGTTACTACAGTCAGGAGGCTGCAGCACGACCAGAGTTACTGTAACTCTGTGCGGTGGACTTGCAGTCTAGCTGCCTTTGAAATGTTTGAGGATGAAATCTGTGACCTCTCGCAACTTTAGTGCCTCGAGACAGAGAAGGAACAGCAGCGAGTCAGTCTGCAGTTTGTTGATGATGATGTTTCGATTCACTGTGACCAGAGAAGATCTGCTGCCATCACAGAAGTTCACATGAACTACTTACATTCAGCGTTCGTCCAGAACCGCGTAGATTTGAAACACAAATTCGACATTCCCGGTGACGTGGACGCGCCTGACGCTACAGGACGGCGATGCAACAACAAAAACACAAAGGCACTCAAAGGTTACAGAAGCAATACAACCACAATACAGCCAGTTTAGTTTGCACTTACTGCTACAGGCTGACTCCAGGTCATGCCAAAAGCTGGTATCCACAACGACTTGCAACAAAATGCAGTGAAACCTCCTATTGTTCCCATTGTTCCCAGTCACAGGGAGGTTGCTGTCCTATTTTTACTACTGTGTGACTGAGGCATTACGTCAGCTGATCCACTGAATTCATACTGTGGTCACTGCTAACTCAGCAAACACTTATTACAATCTCACTCAATGGCAAAGGATTTTGCACCTTCCTCCCCAGGACCAGCAGACATCCAAACTGCAATATGTCATTTTTAAAACGTGCACAAAAAAACATTAGAGGTGCTTTTATCACAAGAAGAAGCTTAAAGCTGAACACAAAGTAAATTACATGTGGTGCAGATAAAACAGCACAGCTGTGCTGAACCACCGGTACAGTACTTACAGTGTTTTCTGCTGCATACTGGGAGAGATGGGTGATTAGTGGGGGGGCATCACTTCAGACCGTGTTAAGAATCAGCCAGAGCACTGAATCACAGGTTTACTGGAGTTTAAATGTCACTAATCTTACGCAACAATGTTACCATGTAAAGACAAAATACAGTATTTAAATCAAGTTTAAAAAGTCCAGCTACAAATAAGCAAATACTCAGCGTCTCATTAACACGCAAGAAACTGAAGCTCGTGTGCATCACATAGATCGTTGTTTCA